GTGAAATCAGTTAAAAGATCAAGAATACAGGGAGAGAACAGTACTAGTTTTAGTTTCCCCATCTATAAAAGTCAGGATAACGCTATCTCCTTTAGTAATGTTTCTCAGATCTAAAGATGAAAACTATCATAACCCCATTTTGACCAGAGAGATTGGGCAAAGTTCAGGGCCTTGTGGGTTGTTTCTGTTAGGAGAAGAAATTGATGGAGTCAGGTATCCTTGATGCAATTCTATCTATTTATTTTCCTGAACACAAGAGGAATCAAATAGGAAACTGTTTGCTCAAAGCTCCAAGCATCTCAGCCCCAAAAGCACTCAGCATTTCTCAGAGCCACATTCCCAGTGCCTGTTCAGGCTGCCTCTGGTGCTTCCTTGCTCCTCTAGTCTTTCTGCTGTTTCTCTGAGGCATTCAGACGTACACAGCTCCACCAATCAATGCCTTAGCCCCAGCATTTGTTATATCCATCCCCCTGGGTCACATAGTTCAGCTTCTGCTCAAGTTTTAATATATGCCTGTGTTTTCGGTGGTACACCCCTATTGTTTCACCTATGTCGTTACATAAAAATGTTTAATGACTTCTTTATATTTATCATGAATGAAAGGCAGCTATTACACCCACAAATTTCAACAAGGTTTAATCCAACCCATAACAATACTATGTAAGAATGAAGCAGCATTGAGAGGGGCTTAAGAGATCAGTACTCAGAGTACAGAAAAAGAAGATATTTAAGAAAAGGGAAGGAGAGAGAGAGAGAGAGGAGAAAACGGTTTTCATGTGGTGCAAAATTCAATGGCAAACCTCTACCTGCATTAACTATTCAGAAAAAGATTAAAAACAAAAACTATCCAGGGAAGTTGTGTACACAGTGCCCAGTACAATGGGGCCCCCATTCTGACTGGGTCGTCTGGCTACAGAATACAAATTAACAAAAACAGAAAAGAGGCCAGTTGCCAAACAGCATCAAATCTTTCTGCTTATTTTCAAAGCTCACTCACCAGAAATGCTACAATATAATAAGATGTGAGCTGAAAGGACATTCTAGGGACTGATAAGCAAATGAACTAAACAAGCACAGGTGTGCAAGAAAACTGCATTTGTTTTGTCGAACAGCTCGAAACTCACCATTTATAAACTGTAGAATGCCCTAAGTCTTCAGTCACATTATTTGACCACAATTAATGAGGGCAGTCATGTTGTCAAAAAATTATATACATTACAAATAAATGCTCAGTCAAACAGTCTGGAAAGTACCAGTGTCCTAAGAGTTAATAGAGATTTAAATCAGCAAGAGAATTACCATTTAAATGAATATTAGTTTTACACCGTAAAATTCTTCCGGTGGTGGTGAGAAAGAACAGTTACTGACCCTACAGTAATGGCTGATCTCCTACAGGTCAAGTTGGTATTAGTGTGGATCCCACTGTAGGTGCACATGTGCCTAATGTGCATGAGATTGGAGGTTCTTGTGGTTTTTGTTTTAAAAGTAGTAGTCTGTTTTGGGGCTGCGCTTGCGCCATATGCCTCTGTGTGCTCCCATGCATGGACATAAGGAAGGGACAGCTGTGACCCGCCTTCCATTTTCTTGCCATTTGAAACCCATGTTTAGATGAGGACTCTGAAAAGAGGGGATTGAAGGCAGGTTATGGGACTCACACTGACAACAGCAAAGAACCAGTTACTTACTGTAGGGTAAGTAATCGTTTTTTCAGCTGCATCAGTCAAACAGTACTTAGCAGCCATGTCCCACGCCAAGTCCAAAGCATAATCTTTGACAAAGGTCAGTTGGTTTTTCCATTTCACTGCTTTGCAGATTTCTGATTTAGGCATATTCCTGAAGCATGTGAATAGTACTGCTGGAGCTCTGGTGGAGTGAGACTTAGTATCTCTCCCACCAAATACACCAGCCAGCTGGTAACAGAGAGATATTGTGTTATCCATTGCTGTGTAGAGATGGCCTGATCTTTGGAATGCCCAGCTATAGCCAGAAACATGGGGAGACAGTGTGAAGGGTCCTGTCAATAAAACAAAACAAAGTCCTGGACACGTCTAAATGTGTGTAACTTCTTTTTGCCCAGTGCAGACTGTAGTTTCGGGAAGGAGATGGGTAGACCGATAGGTTTAGATAAAATTCTGAGGACTACACTGGGGATGAATTTTGGTGAGGTCTAAGCACCACTTTATCCCCATGATACAGTCATTTAGGGAGGGTTAGCCGTAAGTTCTGGAGGCTTGCTACCTTTTCTGGCTGAAGTGATAGCTAACAGGAAGACTCTTCAGAATGAGGTAACTGTACACAGCTCTCAAAGTGGATCAAAGGGAGCAGGCTCCATGAGTCTAAGGAGGACTCTGTTGAGGTCCCAGGTAGGAGCAGTTCTCTGACTGGTGGGTAAATATGTAATAACCCTTTGAGGAACTCTGATACTGTTCGTGAGAAAAAACTGAGCACGACTGCACAAGCGGATGGCATGTCAAAACTGTTGGGAGGTGAACCTTAATAGAACTGAACAAGAGACCAGCCTCCTTTAAATGCCATAAATAGTCAAGAATCTTTACTATCAAGGCCTGAACTGAAACTAGACTGTGTTGAGTGGCCCACATCAAAAAACCTCTTCCACTTAAGAGACAAATTTGTCTTTTTGGTAGATGTCTTCCTGCTCTGTATCAGGATTTCTTGGACCTTTTAGAGAGTAGTCCTTGTCCATGCTACTCAACATCCACACTGTCAGATGCAATGAATTTAGTTCTGGATGGAGTATCTGGCTGTGGTGCTGTGGATCATGTCTAAGGAGGCTGAGAGCTGACTAAGCTGTTGAACTGACACTTGTAGAAGGTCCAGCAGCCAACACTGCCTTGGTCAGTAGCCAGCAATGAGGACAACTGTGGTACTGTCTTACTTAACTTCCATTATTACCATGGGAAATCAGTGGGAAGGTATATAAAAGGCTTTAGAGGCTTTACTGCCAGTGCTGTTGCTGCAGAGGACTTCAGTGATATTGACATGGTTGGAGTCAAAGTTGCTGGTAAAGCTCTGCCTGTGCCATTTTTGCCTTCTTTCCATTGTCTGCTACCGGGTCTGATGTGCACTCGAGAGAATGCTGGTGAATCTGGTCTTGCTCTGGTAGTGATTATCACCTCTGTATCCAAACTGACCCACATGGATTACTCTAGCAGACGTAGCTTGAGCTAAGCATCCCTGGATTTGTGGGTCCTGGAGGAAAAGGCCTTGCACACAGAGCACATGACTGGGATGTGGCTTTCTCCTAGGCAGAAGAGGTTTTGTCCATCTTTGATGGAGATCAATCCCTCACAGGACAGGCACTGTTTGAATCCTGAAGGTTTGCAGTCTACCATGAGGTGCGACAGTTGTCACGAAGCACCTTGCCCTGCTTTACAGGGGGGTCACCGATAATCTTTTCTCTTTTGGAACATCCAATTCCAAAGAACGTGAAGATGGCGATTTCTTTGAAGTTGATTGAAAAAACAATTTTATAGTCTCTGAAGAGAGTGCCAGATCAGACACTTGCTAGGTTCCAGCTCCTCCTAGTGGGCAGTAAGAGGGAACTGAGGGAGGATCACTGCCACCCCTTCCTGCCCCCATATGAGGTAGCACAGACATGTTTATAAAAAAAAATCTCCAATCTCAAATGCATGAAGCACAAGCACACCTACAATGGAATTCACATTAACAACACCTCAAAGAAGAACTTAGTGGTTTCATTTGCTTTCTATGAAACAAAGAGTTGCTAGCAGCTTTGAGATACTTACTGAGATGCTAGGAGGAGGTTGAAGATCAGCAGCTTTCACTTTAGAGAGATCATTTAGCTGTGCACCATTTTTCACTAAGTGAATTCTCTCTTCATACTGAGACTACAGAAAAAGACAAAGAATACCAAAAACAAATCAGCCTTTATATTATTCCACTTACACCAAAATAAGACCTCAAAGTACCAATTAACACTAGTACATTTTGAGAGAGACCAATCAAAGATCTCATACATAGAAATAAGACTACATAGAAGTTTGCTTTTCTTTTTGCTATGTTAGTGTTTAGATTAAAAAATACAGCCATGGGAAGACACATTCATTAATTTTACAGATTTAGGATTACTGGGAATATTTTTCTCCAACTGTGTACCACTACCAGTTGTTCAGCTTCCTAGGATTTTTTTCTTTTTTTTTTGTAAACAGCCTCTTTATTTGTTTTCCATACCCCACCCCAAACATAAGAGAAGACTCATTATAAGGTATGTGGACTTGGTAAACTAATGAGAAATGGTGGTCACATTTTTGGCCAATTCAGCAAGGATGCTTGTGTGAGCGAACACCTGGGCCCACACAAAGCCCCACTGAAATCAATCGTGCTTCATTTAAAAGAACCCCACATGGACCTCTGCTGATTTCAATGTGGCTCCATACAGACAGGTTTGTATGCTTCATCGGGACTCTTACAAGTTATTCATTTAAGTAAATACATCAAGAGTAGCTATTTGAGATCTGTATTAAATAATTATAAAGGAAATATAAATCCAAATATTTATAATTGTTAAATTATTTTCAAAACTAACAGTTTGCATCCATCTTTGAAACAGAGGATACATATATTGCTTTGTTTAACCTACTGGGCACATCACAATTCTAAATTTGGTAAGAAGAGATAATTAAGGAGGACTCTTATAATACAGGAAAATGTGTTTGGAAAACAGACTTACTTCTACTTTTTCCATTTCTTTCTTGATATTTGAAATAAATGTTTCCCAAGAATCAATCTGTGACTTCAAATGAGGTAACACTGAAGTGGGACCACTGAAATATTTCAAATTTTCAGTTCAAAATAATGTGATAACTTGAGTTTGTAAGTGATTTTCCAACAGAGAAAACTGCTACCCAAAACCGTAATGCTCTCCTTCCCCTCCCAGGTAAATCATAGCTGAAGACTTCAGTCATACAGAATTTTAACAAATTAAAGTATCAGTGTCTGTCTACTAATTTCACCCTTAGGAACTGGCCAGTCTTGGAAAGTAAGAACCCGCAAGCAACAGCCAAGACTCCTAAGGATACCCCAAGACCTGGAGAGGATGCTGTGCAGGGAGGAGGAAGTCTCTTGGGTGGAGCCAATCCCAGCTCTGACTCCTCACATGCAGAAACAGACCTCCACCATGCCCATCAGTCTTGCTCCATCTCCTACTTCTAGTCCTTCTCCCTTCCTCAGACCATCAGGCAGGAAAACGTGGGCAATTCTGTGCTGCATGAACCACCATGGCTAAACTAGAACAGGCATAGAGCTGCAAAGTCTTTTACTCTGAATTTTTCCCATGTTGGATAGTCAGAGATTGAATGCTAACAACCAAGAGAATATTCTTTACAATTGATGTAATTCACAAAGCTAATAAATGCCACTTTGCTTTCCTAAACTTTCAGAACTTAATTTTTCAGGTCTTTAAAATCTGATGCAAGGCATCATAACACATTCTTGGACACAGCTTTAACATGGTGTTTGTACATTCTAAAAGATGTAGTTAGCTGTCTAAAAAATCATCTATGATGGTATTTATTTAAAGTCACCAGTGCACCTGGCAATGTGAATACCTGTTATCTCTAATAGAAATGTACAGTTCCATTAAACAAATAAAAGGAAGTCTAAATTAGTGAGAGGATATAAAACTATATTAAAACCAGAAAACAGGAAGGTAAAAAGATTATATGCAATTACTGAATTTTCATGTTTGTAAACTGAATCTAGACTAAAATGTAATTCTAGATGAAATAGTGACAATGTTCTCCAGTTAGACTTATCTTATATTTATATTTCATAGTTGTTACACAAATTATAGTGATGTATTAATTGCATACCTGCTCATTAACTTTAGCAATTTAAGCTTGGCTTCTGCATTTGCAGCTATGCTGTGTAATTTGCATACTTCAGTGTTCTTCCAGTTTTCAAGTACGGACACCTAAAATTAAATTTACTGACTTAAAAGACGCACAAGCATTTTCCTTAGCACAAGCAGTTAAAACTAAGTAATTATTAATCTAAATTCAGCCTCAATCTGGTCTTCAGTAAACATGCTGAGCTGTGGTTTTATGATGCAGTGAAATACATTTCTACTCAGGAAAGACCTAGCTCTAGAATATCTCTGTAGTAAGATATTTCAAGCAGCGTTAAAATGCAGTGGCAGAATTGTGTGAGGAAACAATGACTCCCAGGTGGCTGCAAACAGCCTGCTGAGCATTAAAACTTTCATAAATTGTGAAACTCTTTCCATCCCCATCCTTAGAAAACAGGTAACCTTGATATTGTGCATTATCTTTATGATTAAAAAGGTATGTATCTATTTCAAGGCAGATATACTGGCTTCTAGCTCAACAAGAACCACCTTTTTCAAAACGCACAACTTGCAATCACAAGCAAATTTGACAATCCAAAAAGAAAAGGAGTACTTGTGGCACCTTAGAGACTAACCAATTTATTTGAGCATGAGCTTTCGTGAGCTACAGCTCACTTCATCGGATGCATACCGTGGAAACTGCAGCAGACTTTATATATACACAGAGAATATGAAACAATACCTCCTCCCACCCCACTGTCCTGCTGGTAATAGCTTATCTAAAGTGATCATCAGGTGGGCCATTTCCAGCACAAATCCAGGTTTTCTCACCTTCCACCCCCCCACACAAATTCACTCTCCTGCTGGTGCTAGCCCATCCAAAGTGACAACTCTTTACATAATCAGGTCGGGCTATTTCCTGCACAAATCCAGGTTTTCTCACATCCCCCCCACCCCCATACACACACAAACTCACTCTCCTGCTGGTAATAGCTTCAAATCCAGACTCCAGCGAGAAACTGCTGAATTGGAATTCATTTGCAAATTGGATACTATTAATTTAGGCTTAAATAGAGACTGGGAGTGGCTAAGTCATTATGCAAGGTAGCCTGTTTCCTCTTGTTTTTCTCCCCCCCCCCCCCCCCCCCAGATGTTCTGGTTTAACTTGGATTTAAACTTGGAGAGTGGTCAGTTTAGATGAGCTATTACCAGCAGGAGAGTGAGTTTGTGTGTGTATGGGGGTGGGGGGGATGTGAGAAAACCTGGATTTGTGCAGGAAATAGCCCGACTTGATTATGTAAAGAGTTGTCACTTTGGATGGGCTAGCACCAGCAGGAGAGTGAATTTGTGTGGGGGGGTGGAGGGTGAGAAAACCTGGATTTGTGCTGGAAATGGCCCACCTGATGATCACTTTAGATAAGCTATTACCAGCAGGACAGTGGGGTGGGAGGAGGTATTGTTTCATATTCTCTGTGTGTATATAAAGTCTGCTGCAGTTTCCATGGTATGCATCTGATGAAGTGAGCTGTAGCTCACGAAAGCTCATGCTCAAATAAATTGGTTAGTCTCTAAGGTGCCACAAGTACTCCTTTTCTTTTTGCGAATACAGACTAACACGGCTGTTACTCTGAAACTTGACAATCCAAAACTTCCTTAAAAGGAAAGTTGCATAGCATCTTTTTATTCAAGAAATCTGAGTTCAAAGCATCTGAACATAGAAAAACATACAGGTTTTAGAAGAAATCACCTAAGAGAACTGTTAGGGACAGTCCTATTATTTACAAGATGCCAGCCTTTGAATGAAATACTCAAAGGGATCTGTGCATTCTAATTCTACTAGAAATAGATGTGCCGATATTCCTATTCAAGATCAGTAATTTTTTAATAATAAAAAGGATAAATTCTTTTTTGTGAGTAATTCCCACTAATGGAAACTATGTGCATGTCAAAGGGATAAAACATTCTTTAATTGCAATTACCTTTTAATAGCAGACTTAACTTTTTAAATTTTTTCTGGCAATATATCACATTGACCCAAACATCCAACCTCTTCTAAAAATATATACACAGAACAAATACAATAGAACCTTGCTAAGTTGCAGTGTCTCAGAGACCCTTGGTGAATTAGCAATGAAGTGAACAAAAATATCCAGGATAGCGCATCACAAAACATACTTTGCTGATTGAGCAAGTATAGTTTTAATTATTTATGTTAATACTTCTAAGCATACTATTAAATGTTGTGTGGGTGATTTTGTAACAGTGATGAAGTCATCATTAAGATGAGACCTCACCAGATCTCTCTATTAAAACTATGCTGAAAAGTGGGCAGATCAACCTTTTTTGTGGGGATTGGTGAAATGCAAAGGAGCAAGGTTCTAGTGTAGCACATTTTACCTCTGCTGCAACAGCTCTTTTAATACACTCCTGGTAATTATCTTTGCTCTTTTTATTTAGCTCCTCCAGTTGTACTTTTTCATTGGCAAATTTATTACTGTGAAGTAAAATAAAATAAAATAAAAATGAAGATGTCAAAAAGAATACTGGGATGCCATCTACATTTGAACTATATTCCAAAAACTCTACAACAGACATTTGTTTCCTCTTCTATAAAAATATAGATCACTGATAACATTATGTACAGTACATGTAGACATGGATATTCGACTAATTATAGGACAGTGCAAACTCATCTTAAATACGGTGGGGCAGATACACTTGAATGATAATTCTATATGAATAATTCTAAACCTACCACTTGTAGACTAAAAAACTAAGGGCTAGTCTACACTGGCAATTCTAAAGCTCTCCCAGTGCGCTAAAAAAACCACCTCAACGAGGGGCATAGCTCCCAGCGCTCGTGCACTGTCTACACTGGCGCTTTACAGCACTGAAACTTGCTGCGCTCGGGGGGTGTTTTCTCACACCCCCTAAAGTTGTTGCAGTGCTGTAAATTGCCAGTGTAGACAAGCCCTGAGAGCAAGGCTACAGGATTGCTATAACTAGAACCAGTATGTGAGCTCCCGCTGCTGTACCACAGCAGCACTTAAAAAAAAAAAAATTACCTGATCTCCAGGAATTTATCCAAATACACTGTATATTGCTTGTCCTTCTCATCAATGTTCCTCAAGTATCTATGTGCATCATAAAAAAGGAAATCTATTAAGTCTGGCTTGAAAAATGTTTACTCAGCAACCACAATACAGTCTTCTATAAACTTAGTTGACAAATAAGTCTATGCATTTGATTTATAGTTTTGTAGGTAGTTCATTTAGGATTTAATCTCTTAAGTCCACAAATTTGTTTTCTGCTATATCAGCACTGTGAATTTGTAATTTGAATGTTATTTAAGATTATTTCAAGATGTGACCCAACCCATCTAGCAAGACAAAATAAGGGTTAATCGATAAATATGCAAAAAGAAAACACTGCAAAACATCCAAGGTTCAAAGTCTCCTGAGGTTGGTGGTCTATGTAAATAGAGAACAATAAAATTACAGGAAGATGTCAAAGCCAATCAGGGATATATCACTAAACCAGTGTCAGTATATGTTTTGCAAGTTAGAAGAAAGCAATACTGAATGTGTTTACCTACAAAAAAAAAAAAAAAAAAAGCATGTTTAAGCAGATATGCATCTAAACCTTAACGCAAGTTCAGTGATCCAACACCTACCTGAAAGACGTCTAAAAACCAGATGACTTAGTCAGTATTTATGAAGTGTTAAGATGATTGTTGGAAAGCACAATGAATTATTATAAAACCACAACCAACCCTCAACAACTCATCCAATACATCACTAGTTTGAAAATTTCTTGTTTGCTACTATTGCCAGTGCTCACTGAGTTGGGTGGGTGGAGAGGAGTTGATTTAGTTAATGCCCTCTCATCCACAGCCAGAGAGCCCTTTTGCCAAGAAACCTCACAGCATGGGGATGATAGGAGCCCATGTAAGGGATGTGCACCCTTAATAATAAGGATCCCAGTTCCATAGAGATTCCTTTCAGGCTTCTGTTTTATAGGACAGGATAAAAACACAGTAGGCATAAGGAAACACTTGTAGTTTCACACTGAACTGCAAAATCACTACTTCTGAATCGAATATCAAAACTACATGCTACTTAGATGCAACGATAGCATGAAGTCAGGTGTAACTATATCAAGAAATGGCAGAATCAAAGCAGGAGGAAATCAATGTTGTCTTTGGATTGCCCCAGAAATGTTCTGTTGCATGGCAGAATGAACACAGAAAGTGAATCTGAAGTGTGAGCTAGAGCTGGGATCTGGCTAGGATGACTGTGTAGTGGGAATGGAGGAGGAGCATAGGAGTTGAGGGAATACAATATGGAATCAGTGATGGTAAGGGAAGAGAAGAAAAGTTCAAAAGCAGTGGAAAATTAGGGGGTGCTCAAGGAAGTGCAAAGGGAAAACACAATACTGAAGATGGTAGTCCGAGATGGGAAACAAGGTATTCTGTAACCTGATTATGTAAATTATTCTGCACGCAGACCTATCAATATCAGTAGGGCTAATCACAGAATAAGGTATGTGATTTTTAAGGTGTCACACCCTAAGAAAACAAGTCTGGT